ATAACCTGTAAATTTGCTGAACTTATTAATCAATTTCCAGGAGTCTCTTGGTGGAATTTTGGGATTTTCTCAATACAAGATCATATCATCAGCAAAAAGCAACAGTTTGATTTCCTCTCTCCTGATTGGGATGCCCGTTATTTCTTTCTCTTGCCTGATTGCTCTGGCTCGGACTTCCAGCACTGTGTTGAATAGAAGTGGTCTGGTTTAGTTTATGTGATGAATAACATTTGTTGATTTCTATATGTTGAACTATCTTTGCATTCCTTGATGAAGCCCACTTGGTCATGGGTGTACTAGGAGCTCAATATGCTAATTACAGCAGTGGTCCCAACATGGAAGATAATTTTTCCACTGACCAGGGTTGGGGGTGGGGATGGTTTTGGGATGATTCAAGCAAATTACCATTTATTGTGCACTTTATTTCTATTATTATTACATTGTATTATATAATGAAATAATTGTACAACTTACCATAATGCAGAATCAGTGGGAGCCCTGAGCTTGTTTTCCTGCAACTAATGCTGCTGCTGATGTGACAGGAGATGGAGCTCAGGTAGTGATGTGAGTGATGGGAAGTGGCTATAAATAGAGATGAAGCTTCGCTAGCTTGCGTACCACTCACCACCTGCTGTGTGGTCCAGTTCCTAAGAGGCCACCACAGACTGGTACTGGTCCACACACCGGGGATTGGGGACCACAGAACTAGAATATAGGTGCCTAGAAGAGGTGAGGGGAAGTGGAAATGAGTTGTATGAAAAATTATAAATATCATTAAATAAAACAAATCTGTAGGGGGACCTTGTATGGATCTATGAGGACCGTCTGCTATGAACTAAGGTCTATGATTTACACAACCTGTTCCTTTTAGGTTCTACTATTCCTCTCCCTCTCTTACATAAGAGGTGAAAAGTAAAAACAAAGCAAAACTGAAACAAACTAAAATAAGAAAGAAATTGATTACACATTGTGGCCTTTTCCCAGTTCTAACCAGTACCCTAATACTAGCTGATACCCATTAACACAAAACAGTGTACATGGCTTTTAAATTTCCAGTGGGCATAATTAAATCTCGAGGAATTTCCAAATCTCCGTGATAATGGCAATGATCCTATATTGATGAGGATAATATTGATGATCTTATGATACTCTCTTAGCACATTGAAACAATTGGATGGTAAAGAATTCAACATTTATTAAATATATATTATGTACCATGGTAAACATTAGCAACTTTAGTCTTTGAGGAAATTATTCTAGGAGACAAAATAGAGAAAAAAAATCTATATTATTTCATCTGTGCTATAACACTACAAAAATCTTGAATTACTCAGTGATAATTCAGAAGAGATAAATAAAAAAATAAGCCTCAAAATCATCTATATGATCACTTTAATAGTATTGGCTTTATTTTTACAAGGATAACTACACCTGCAATTGTTGCAATAAAATGCTCACGGGAGTTTTTCCCTCAGGTTCTCCCTGTGCCTTTTAATTCAAAGTATTCCCAGCAATGCATCCCTAAAAGTTTATTTTTTTATTTCAGAATATTATAGGGGTACGAACGATTTGATTCCACGTTTTTCTTTGTGTAGTTTATTAAAAAAATTCAGAACATTGCAGGGGTACAAATGTTTAGGTCATATATATTGCCTGCGGTGCGAAATGTCTGGGGGACCGACATGCTTGTAGGTCTGACTTGGGCAGGGCTTTTGCTCAGTTTGAGTCAAAATTATAAGTGTGCCCATCACCAAGGTAGGGTGCATCTTTTGGATTGAAGATTCATGGGATACTTACATGCTTTCCACCTTTATTTGCTGTTTCATGTCATAGCTACAGAAAAGTAAAGGAGCTAACCTGAAGGAGAACCTTGACATTCCAAGCAAATGTAAAATCTTGCAAAAGTAATAATTGTGATCAGCACATACTTTTTTTTTTAAATATTGAGATAAAGTCAATGGGATGTTGAACGATTCTTTGTTTAGTAAGTAACTCTTTACTAAACTTGGATTTTAGAAAATTCTGATTTTTAAGTTAAGTTCTTCTGAAATGTTTTTACTGGTGATTATTTTCAAGAGAACATTCAGGAAAATCTGGAGAGTAATTTGAGGGTAAATTAATTTGAGGGCAAACGTTTGAAACCTTTATTTGTATTTATGAGATAACAATTAAGTATATAGTGAAAAAGTATGAGAGTTTGAATTATACAAACATGGATTAGATATAAATCTTCTCCTAGAACCTATATAACCTTGAGCTCTAGTATCCTTATTTGAAAAACAGGGGCAGTGAGACAATAACATTTATCTCATAGGGTTGTGGTGAAGATGAAATGGGTTAGTAAATGAAAAGTATTTAGTTCAATGCCAGAACATATTATTGGTTAATAAATGGTATATAAACATTTTATTCTAACCACGTCAAATAATTAATTCCATGTCTTTCACTTTAATAATATTTCTTTGTTATAGATATGATAAATTGTTAAAGAAACAAAAAACATATAAAATTATCCTTGATGGATTTTTGCAGAATCCATATTCTCTCATGATCTTTGTCATAAATTTACTTCTCAATAATCGAACTTTAATGCCTTTCTTTTCCTCCCCACATCAAACTATAGTTGACATATCTTTGCCAACAATGACTCACAGAGATCTTTCTCAACAAATTTAAATTTTGAAAGAGTGACTTTCGGAAGACACACTTTAAGTGAAAGGTATGTGAAAAGTTGGACTCAAAATTCCTCACTCCTAAAACTGGTATATGTATATGAATACATATGGGTGGAGTGTGTGTATGTGTGTGTGGGGGGTGGGGGAGAGAGTGAGAGAGAGAGAGAAAGGTAATTTTTAAGGATTAAAAAGAAATCAGAGGAGATTTGAGGATGGGATGAGACCTGCAGATTTTTTAGCTTGAGGTAGCTTTTTCAGAAGATTCCTG